CCATCGTACTCCCTAGTTCCTGCCCCCCCCACTGCATCCTACCCATCCCTACTCCCTGCCCCACAACCCCCACCTCCTTGTCTCCCTGCCCCTCACCCTCCACCAGGACCAGGCCCTCTGCAGCCCCTGCCACCAACTCCCCCAGCATGGTCCCCCCGCCCTTCAAGGCACGGCGCGTTCTGATGACGTTAAGGACGGGCACCCGGCGGCCCGATTAGAACGTTTTGCTGTTCTCCTTCCCCCGCCCCTCGGGGCCCCGGCGCGTCCAGCTAATGTCACTACGGCAAATGCGCTGCCGATGAGGGCGGGGCCTTCTCTGGGCGCCGCCATGTGGGCACATAGGTGTCTAACGGAGTGCCTACTCAGAAAGTCATATATTTGAGAAGGATGGGATAAAGGGCTAAGCAGCCCTTAGTGCCATAGGTAGTGGCGATTTGGACACCCCCCCCATTCACGTGGAGGCTTCATGTGCGGGGCGCTGTTTTTCAGTCCCTAAGAAAGCACCTCAGCCCCCATCTTGTCCCAAGCATGGCCACCTGTGCCCCTAGGAAGACTGGGGGGAATTGGGGTTAAATGTCACAATTTCAGGGCCACCTGAGCCCCTGTGTTCACAAGCAAATGAGAATTCGGCATCCAGGTCCTGCTCTCACCCATCAGCGCCTCAAAGGCCTGAGGCTGTCTCCCACCTCGAGGACCCCACACATTACCTGTGGGTGCAGTCTGTGCACACAGCCCTATAGCTACACCCTGTGTGGGTGTGGGAGACCATCTCTCTCTCACGCTCCCCGTCTATAGCTAGATTGTACATATAAACAGACACTTTCAAAGTCCCCTGTGTATGTGCGCGCAGTCTAGCTACAGCAATTGTGTGTGCGCACATGCATGTGTATACATACAATCTAGCTAGATTGTGTGTGTGTGTGTGTGTGTTCATTGTACAATCTAGCTCCAGGCAGCGTTTCTCTTGTGCTGTCATACGCAAGCCCACACCCACAATCTAGCTATAGGTAGAGAGAGAGAGAGAGAGAGAGACGCTGCCTATAGCTAAATTGTGTGTGGGAGTGAGAGGGTGAAACACTGCCTACAGTTGGATTGTATTTACACATACTACCTATAGCTAGATTGTCAGTGTGTCTGTCCATATGCATGGGTATACACACACAACTCCCTGTATGTGTGAAACCCTACCTGTAGCTAGTCTATGTATATACAAATACGAATGAGAGCGCCGGGGGGAGGCGGCGTACACAAATACAATTTAGCTATAGGTAGGGTTTCTCACATATGCAATACCCCCCCCCCCCCCCGATAGACTGTGTGTGTGTGTGTGCGCATGCATATATGCACAAGCTACAAGTGCAGGTATGTACAACAGTTGAAATCTAAACACACACCACATCTAATTAACTACAGTAATGTCACACATACCTGTAGATTGTGTGCATACAGTCTGCCTATCTACATGTGCAGATGTATATAACAAGACCTAATACATAGTGTACTTCATTGACTTCAGTAATAGGACACGCAGTCTGTACATACGCAGTGTGTGTATCCACAAACACCTGGATACAGTTAGCATGTGCAACTATCTATTAGAAATGTGTGTACACAGAGTGTACACATAGCATTATTATAATTTAGCTATACACAATCACTTAGTCACATGCACACACTAGAGCGTGTCTTTGCACGTGAGTGAGAAACCCTGCTTACCGCTAGATTATATATGTGTACACACACCCCCCCCCCCAGTACATATGCATGTGCACTCTGCCTACAGACACACAATCTACATTCCAGGTGTGTACAACTATTGAGATTTAACAGTAGTTGAATAGATACGGTGTGTGTTATGACGCACACACTCCCTACATAAACAGTGTGCCCCGCCCCCCACCCCCCGATAGTGTGGGCAACTTATCTATTAGACACGTGGGCACACAATAGCTGTGTACACACACTATAATTTAGCTACACACACCAATTGCTTATTCATAGATGTTAGGGTCAGAAGGTACCAGAGATCATTGAGTCTGATCCCCTGCCTGGGCAGGAAAGAGCGCTGGGGTCAGGTGACCCCAACCAGGTGTTTGTCTGGTCTCCTCTTAAAGACTCTCAAGATAGGGGAGAGCACCACAGAGCATCTCCTATTCCTTTGCTCCTGCCAGATTAATTTGTAGGCAGCCACAAGATCCCCACTCACCCTTCTCTTGTGGAGGCTGAAGAGATACAGGGCCTTCAAGGCCCTACAAGGAGAGATTGCCTACAGGCCCCCAACCCTGAGTGGCCATCCTCTGGACCCCCTTGAGGTTGTCCACATCCCTCTTGAAGTACAGTGCCCAGAACTGGATGCAGTACTCCAACTGTGGTCTGTCCAGTGCCACAGAGAGGGGAAGTATCACCACCCTGGACCTGTTTATTTTGCATAAGCAGGTGCATCACAAAGTGCACTTAACTTTACTGATCACTTCATCCCATCAACAACTCATGTTTATCTTAGAGTGAACAATGACTCCAAGATCCCTTTCTGCTGCTGTGCTGCTAAGAAGGTCCTCCCCCAGCCTGTAAGTGTGCTGGCGATTCCTTCTCCCCCGGTGCAGTACCTTGCACTTGTCCTTTTTGAAGATAAAGTTCATACACACCCTTCTAGTGAGTGTGCGAACATGTACAAATACAATCTAGCTGTAGGTAGGTTTTCTCTCATGCAGCTAGATTGTATTCACACATTTATGATTAAGCAGTTGTGTGGCTAGGTGATGAGAATAGGTGCAAGTGCTCTAATGGATACAGTCATACACTAACTGGAGACAGAGAGAGTCTAGCTGTAGGTAGCATTTCTCTCAAAAACAGCTAGGTTGTAGTTGTACACCTGCCCCTCCACTGTAGCTATCATGCATGTGTATATGCACACACAACCACACCCAAATTGTGCAACTATTAGCTCTCAGTTGTTTTGCCTATAGTAGTGACACCCCTCCCGCACAGAGGCAGCGCGGGGCGGGGAAAGAGGAGAGAAGAGAGAAAGGACAGACATAAGAGGAGCTGGAGGACTTCCAAGGGCTAAACAGATATAGGCCCCCAAACAAGCCCCATCTGCTAAAGAAACCCTTTACAGTGATTTTTGGGGGTAAAAACCCCCATTTGAGGCAAAACTGAAGCTCTACCCCAAAGACAACCCCCTCACACACACACACACACACACACACACACACACACACACTCCCCCAAAAGAAGAGGAGGACATGGGCATGTTCCAAAACACATGGCTGATTTATTCTGTACAAAACCCCCCCAAAAAACAGATACAACACAGTATCTCAGAGAAACAGATTAAAACTCCCCAGAAAGAGCAGCCAGGGAGAGCCTGGGTGGTGCAGAGATGCAGCCACTTCTGAGGTCCAGCATGGGTGGGTAGAACAGGGACCCCTCACCCAGCTCTGGGGCAGGGCACAGCTGGGGACCCCTTTATAAAGGCACTAAGATGCAGCCAGCTCTAGGGTGAATCACAGTTGCATAGAACGGGGACCCCCTTGTAAAAGGCATGGAGATACAGCCAGCTCTGGGGTGGCTGAACCCCCAGACCCCCCCAAAAAACCCACATACACAGATCCAAGCCCTTGTCCTGACAAACTGGGATGTCCCCCCATATATCCACCAGCAGGAAGGTGGGGGTCTTAACTTTTTGTGCCCTAGTGAATTTCAGGGGGGTAGATAAGGCGGGGGGGGGGGGGCTAAGCATATTCGCGGGTGGTCTAGACATATTCGCGGTTGCTGGAGGCCGCCTTGCTCTTGGGATACTGCGCCCGGGGTCCTGACTTCCCAGGGCAGGAGCAGGAGAGCAGCCCCCCACCCAGGAGAGTCAGGGCGGAGCCAGCCCAGCCCACGAAGATGCCCGACCCAAACTCGTACCTGGAAAAAGAGAAGGGAAGGAAAAGGGTTAAAAAGAGGCCCTTCCCCTTAGGGAAGTCAACCACACCACTTCCCAGACAAAGGCAGCTAGTCCTGGGTTGGGTCCCAGCTACATAGAACAAGGATCTTTCCCCTAGCTCTAAAATGCAGCCAGCTCTGGGATGGGTCATGGCTGCATATAAACAGGGACCCCCTTTATAAGAGGCACCAAGATGTAGTCAGCTCTGCGGTGGACCCTGGGACACCCCATACTCACTTGGCATTCATGGGCACTAAGGGGTTGTAGAAGTCGGTGACGATCTGATGCCCGTACCAGGAGCAGGCCACAAGCCCAGCCAAGCCTGAGGGGGAGATAATTGCCACATAGAACATCCAAAAAGTGGGGGTGGTTGTGAGGATGCAGCCAGCTCTGGGGTGTGGCACAGCCAGGTAGAACAGGGGACCCTGAGCAGAGATGCAGCCAGCTCTGGGGAGGATCCTGGCTACATGGAACAGGGGACCCCCTCTCCAAGACACAGCCAGCTTTGGGGTGTGGAACAGCCAGTAGAATGCAGCCAGCTCTGGGGCAACACTGGGCGAGGGGGAAGGCTCACCAGCCACCACGTAGACGAGGCCGCCCGTCATGGCAATGCGTGCCTTCTGCACCTTGTTGTCGCCGCCGCAGCGTGTACACTTCATGCCCATGATGGCAATGCCCAGTGCCACCAGTCCCAGCACCACTGCCACCACCATCAATGCCCGTGTGGCCTGCAGGGAGGCTGGGGAGCAGGGAGGGGAAGGGTGAGGGGGAGCCGAGGCAACTGGGCTCCCAACCCCCCTGGGTTCTGACCCCCGCCCCATATAGACCCCAAGCCCTTCCCAGGGAACTCAAGCACCTGGGCTCCTAACAGTGCTCTACTTCCCCCCCCCCCCCAAAAAAAAAAAAAAGATACAAACCCGCCCCCCCCCCCCCAAAAAAAAAAAAAAAAAAAAAAGCAAAAAACAAAACATGGAGAGGACCCTGCATCCGGGCTTTTATGGCCCCATGTCACAAGGAGTCAGGTTAGACTTTGCCTCCAGGGAACCCAGGTGTCTGGGGCAACGCCCCAAACGACACAAGCCCAAAGCACCCAGGCATCTGGGCCCCCAGCCCCCTCCCCTCTTGGGCAACCCAGGGGTCCAGGCCTCCCCCTTCCCCAAACACCCTACATGGAGAGGACCCTGCATCCGGGCTTTTATGGCCCCATGTCACAAGGAGTCAGGTTAGACTTTGCCTCCAGGGAACCCAGGTGTCTGGGGCAACGCCCCAAACGACACAAGCCCAAAGCACCCAGGCATCTGGGCCCCCAGCCCCCTCCCCTCTTGGGCAACCCAGGGGTCCAGGCCTCCCCCTTCCCCAAACACCCTACAACCCTCCTCCAGAAAACCCAT